AAGAAATGGTTCATTTACCCCAAATTGCTTCTGTTCCTGCCGCAATGACCACTTCAAAAATATTCAGACTCGTTACGGACATGTTATATGCCATGCGTAGCTTGGTTTGGTAACCATTTCATCTTACAAATTTAAAGGGTTAAGTTTTAAGATATTATTTGTATTATTTTTTAATATATTTTTTAAAATAAAAAATTTTTAAACTTAAAATTTATATAAATTTATATTATTTTATGTTTAATTTTTATCAAATAATTAAAAATAATAAAAATCAAACTTGCAATAGCTTGATTATCAAAACTTTAATACCATATAAAAAAAAGCTATCTCAAATAATAACTTAAATATATAAGATTTTAAGGGATAATAACTTATTATTTTTATTATTCTTACACACCACATTATCATTGGCATTCATGTGCCCTGGCTGGATTATTCAATCGAGGTAACTCCTTTTCATGTGAATCACGCCTAGACCTAATCATTTTCACACTTGGCCATCCCATTTTTAGCTACAGATATGAGAGCGTTTCACTTTATTAATCGATTGTGTTCGGAACATGTCTGGTAGTTGAGGTCAAACCTGCTACATGATTACTCGCAAAATTCTCTCTTTAGCTGTGGAGAGATTGACTATGCTATCGACCTGGAGAAAACCAAGAATGCAAGGACAGGACTCACAGAACAGTTAATTCCATCTATTTACAGGGGATAAATATGGAAAGATCACGTTCACCATATATACCAGACATATCCAACCTTCAGTAATAAGACATAAAGAGTTGCGTCTACGTTAGGAAAAATTGTATGAATATGCCTGTTAAGACCATAGAATCGACCCCAATTCCAGAAGGATGTCACAATTAATCTCACCAGAAAGAAGAACATGACGTGAGAATGCGAGATGATGGGCGAATTAAGCAGAGCATGCTCATGGAAGAGACAAATTTATTGGAAGTGTTAATTTGGTGAAGTAATTAGCAGAAAGCGAATGATAGAGTGAATAGGTGAACATCACATGACAAGCAAATAAGACTGTTAGTTAATCTTATTTTAAGAAAATGAGCTCTTTCGATTTAATTTTTAGCTTAAATTCTTTATTTATAAATAAATATAAAATATATATTAAAGTTAAAATTATTATGAAAATATATTCATATGTTAAAAGAAAAATTAAATATTTAGTTTAATACACACAGACTTGAAAGATTTAAAACAAATTATGACTAAAAGAGATAAGAAATATTATGACCTTTATAGATGATTTTTCAACACAAGGCTACATATTTTTCATATTTATTTATAAATAAAGAATTTAAATAAAAAATAAACTAAAAGAACTCATTTTCTTAAAATAAAATAAAGTAACATATCCTCCTCAATATTTTCATTCATCTACACAGTTAAGACATCCAGATAAAGTAACAAATCCTCCTCAATATTTTCATTCATTTCATTCATCTACACAGTTAAGACATCCAGCAACATTGGTTGGATATTTAGGGAATGAGTTGAGCATATAGATAGATCATGCCAGCATCTGTAACACAGCATTAAGACATCCACAAATATTAATAATAATCAATTATTATGTTTTCATCAGTTATTTGTGTAATTTGGAGTTTCCCTCAAAAAAAAATTAATTAATTTTTTTATGTTTTTGGATCTTTTCATGAATTGATATTAAAAATAATTTTTTAAAAATAAAAATATTATTTTAATATTAACAAAAATACTTTAAAAAACAAACAACTATTACCATATTCCCATACACAACTTTTATGCAATCATATAAAAAAATAAACCAACACTTGAACAAAGTAGTGAAAGCTGATAGCAATGACCATATCAAAATTCCTAACTCGGCACTCGACCCAAAGGCCCATCTTATCGATTGCTCATTCTTTAGCCAGAACCAGGATTGAGGAAAAGAAATGAAAAATGACCATATCAAAATTCCTAACTCAGCACTCAGCCCAAAGGCCCATCTTATCAATTGCTCGTTCTTTAGCAAGAACCAGGATTGAGGAAAAGAAATGAAAAAAGCAAATCTACTTTATTAAAAAAAATATTTTTTACATCATATATGACCATTAATTTATTCGGACAATCCTCTTCTTGACCTATGTATCTACTTGAATATGATAAAAAACAACGTAGTTTTGATGCGTTTTTCAGCATTTTCCAAGTAAAAATATTAAAAAAAACAACGTAGTTTTGATGCATTTTTCAGCATTTTCCAAGTAAAAATATTATTTAAAATATACATTATAAGACTTAAAATAATTAATCTCAATGCTTTTGTTATTTTAGAAGAAATCTTAATGTATTTTGTTTATAATAATTTTCATTTTTGTAGTATTAGAAATGGATATTCGAATAAGAATAACATGGAGTATTACAGATAATTTTGAAAGGTTGTGTAAAGTAGTGGCAGAGCCGAGCGAAGGAGTTTTTTCTTGGGGGGATTGTACATGGGATGGATTTAAGGAGTGCTATACATAATTTGCCAACAAAGACTATATATATTTACAGAATTTTGACTCTTATATAAGATATTGAGGAAAGGATCGGCCTACCAGTTCACAGGTTTTGTTGATGCTCGAGGAATTATAGATTGAGCTTGCAGCTGAGCAGGACACTCAATCACTGATATCTTCTTCCTGAACAAGACATGGATTGATCTTAATCTTACATGACCATGTTGGCGATTTATCTCTAGACATGGCAGGGAAATTAGTGTTCCAGAGTGCTGTCAAAAAGGTGAAGATTCACAGAACTGAGGCTGTCATCAAGCTACAAGGTTCCAGTTTCAGAAGATAGGATCTGTAAACGACTTCATTAAAAGGGAAATTATCAGCAAAACTAGATTTTCTGAGTTTTGAGAAATATTCAGTTCAAATCTATTAGAAAGTAGTCATTGCGGCAGTAACAGAAGTAATTTGAGTGGTATAGAACACGTTTTTCAATATTGAAAACTTGGATAGATCAAAAAAGCAAAGGTTCATCTTTATGAAACGGGAGTTTCAGAAATTTAGTCATAGTAATTGGTAACATGGTGGCGTAGCCACAGGTCATACATGAACATGTAAAATGAATCATGTTTGAATGGAGGTAGATTCCTCTGAAAGTGCCTTTGGACCTGATTCAAGAGTAGGGAGTTAAAGAAATTAGACAGTTCACACACAATAAGGATTTAGTGCGTTCAAGGAAAACAATATAAAGGAACCTGATCTACAGAGTGAATTTCACAAACAATTGAAGTAGAGGACTTTGTGAGAGAGAAGTGTATGTTCATTCAAGGTGTTGGTCTGCAGGGCTTCGTATTCTTGCTATGGCATGCCTGCATGGATTTTCTTCAGTTGATAGATATCTCTCCTTGAGTATTACAGAGAATTTCTTCCAGTCAAGAATGTCGTTGAATGGTAATTCATAGTAGTCTGACAGGATAACAGCAGAGAAATTCTTGACTGTAGGTATAGATATCGATGATTAAAGAACTAATCTATAACCTGGAACACATCCAAAATCAACTGAAAACAAAATGCTTGTATAAATTAACTAATCTATCACCTGGAACACATCCAACGACTGCTATATTACCATCGAGCAGATGGCCTCTCAGACAAATGCAAAACTTGGACGTGCACTAATGCTGTTGGTATACCCAGCGTCCTTCTTCAGTACTAATTTCCAGTCCTTCTTGGATGGAATTAGAAGCATGCCAGCATGCAATTATCGAGTCTTGAAAATTAGCATCAGAATATCAATGCAATAGGACTGTGGATCAGTTAGTAAAGATCTTCCTGCATATAAACTAGGTTAAAATATCTTATTCAACGAAAATGAATTAAGAAAGCCATCTGCGAATATAAATGAATTTGGGAAAAATATTCAACAAGATTTGGCATAATTCCTTTGTTAATGGATCATGTCTCTTCTGTTCATGCAGTATTATTTTCATAAATATGAAAATGCTATTCTAATTCAACCAAAAATGAATGAATGGAATAGCACACTCATGATTTTAAGCGTGTGTGTGTGTATGTGTAAGCCATGCGGTAATATGAGTATGGGGTGGGAGTAGAAGACATATCTAAACTAACAGAATTTGATAGTTAAAGCAACCGCCAAACCAACAGCACAAACAATTCTATTTCTTTCTTTCTTTTGATCTCCCATCAATATTATCCTCTCCTCTCCTCTCTTCTCTTCTCTACAAGAAAACTTGGATCCCCAGCTACCCCCCTCTATCGTTCTCAAGAAAATGAGTCTTCTCATAGAATTTGCGCTCGTGGTCATCATTTTGAGCGTAGTCTCTATCCTGTGCCAGTACAGCCAGTACAGATATTGGTTACCAATCACTTCTCATGTACTCTTTTTCTTTCACTTTCTGTCTTTTTTTACTGAACTTAATTTTGGAAGGCCAATTTCATGTTTTATCAGTCTCTTGGATTACTTTTATGCATCGACATTCTTCTTGCTGTTGTTTCAGTGCCCTTGTTTTCTCTACTAATGCTCTTTCTCTCAATCCAAGATTCTCTGTTTGCTTTCTTGCATGCAATTCCTCTCTTCTTTTTCTTCTTTTTTGGTGCAGTTCGTGGGTTTTAAATGCCATTTAATCAATTTCAGTTCCCTGCTTTGTCTATCTTTTGCTTTCTCTCGTCTTCTTGTTCCCTTTTAACGCTCGTTTTTGTGCCTTTTTGAAGGGCGATTTGATTCAATATACAGTTCAAGATTCGACCGATGACATCTATCACTCAAGAGCATTTTTCTTGCTGAATTATGAAGCAATGAAGAAGGATTTTAAGGTCTTTGTGTACCCAGGTGGAAACCCAGGAACATGTTATCACTCAACAAATAACAAGCTCAAGAGCAATCATGCAAGTGAACATTACTTCTTCATGAATCTAAGAGATAGTCCGTTTTTGACTAAAAATCCTCAAGAGGCTCATCTCTTCTTTATTCCCATTTCTTGTCAGCCATTGAGTGACGAGGTATGTGCTTAAATTGCAAGAAATTATTTAATTTGATCTTTATGGTTGAATATAAGCAATGAGTCTAGTATTTGCTTATCTTTATGCTGGGAAAGAATTTCATTTCTTGTGCATAAATTATGTAATCGTGCATCTTTCAAGGATTCAAGAGATTGATGCAGATATAGATGGTTACTCTATTGATCTTTGTAGATATTTCCACAAGTTTGTTGATTGGTTCTGTTTTTTTTTTTTTTTTTTTTTTTTTGTGTGTGTGTGTTTTCTTTCTCATAATTTTGATTTAAAAACTGTCTTGTTTTGGTTGTCAAAAACTCTTTGTGGCATCCCATCTCACTCTTTTTGGTATGCATCTAAAGCAACGATTTTTTCTTAATGCAGGAACCTGGTTATAGGGAGAAGGTTATCAAGAGATACGTCAAGGGCTTAATTTCCACATACCCTTACTGGAATAGGACTTTAGGTGCTGATCACTTTTTTGTCAGTTGCCATAATATTGGCAGCACGGCTACTAAAGAAATTCCATTTCTCCTGAAGAATGCAATTCGACTTGTGTGTTCACCAAGTTATGATTCCAACTATATTCCACAGAAGGATGTTGCCCTCCCACAAATACTGGAGCTCTCTCTACCTCCTGATGGAGATGACATGTGGAACAGGTAATCTTCTATGGCGTAACACTTCGTATTATATCCTTGAGTGGTGTGCTTCCGAAGGCATTTATGTAATTCAATTCCCGATTTTCTATGAACATTTTTGGAAACTATACTCCTTAAGTGGGCAAAAATACTGAACTTCAGAAACCTGATGCAACTTGCCAGGTCAACTGTGGAGTCTCGCCCTCTCCTGCTGTCCCAAGAGATTATAAACCCACCCAGGTAGTGAGATATTTACCAAATTTAGCTTTCTGAATGATTTTTGTGCAACTGAACAACAGTAAAATCTGGCATTAGAGTTCCCTGCAAGTGTCACGCGCCTATGGGCAAGTATTTTCTCTCTTGATAATGATTATAACTTGGGAGTCGCATTCTTGAGCATTCATCAAATAGGCTGCAGTGATTAATTCTTTGTTATACATCTTGAATTCGATTTATGCTTTCATATTGCAAACTTCTCATTGAAAGTTTGTAGTTCATAACACATTAACAGAATCATTGATGCTATGGCCAAGCTTCTGTGGAAAATATTGCTGGACTGAATTTGGTTTCTGGGCTGGTTCTCCCAACATCGCACATTTCTTTTCATCCAGTCCACATATCAGTTTAATGTGATGTAAATATGTCTGTAATTTAAGATGATTTACAACTAGATGTTTATCTACTGAGAAATTAGGAATATAAATCCATGTATGTTATCTATACATTCATACAAATAAAAAAAGGTTAAGTTTAGATCTTTAATTAAACAATACATTCTAGTTGGTACACATCCAAAAAGTTATAGATAACTTTTTACAGAATCATTGATGCTTTGGCTAAGCTTCTGTGGAAAATATTGCAGGACTAAACTTGGTTTCTGGGCTGGTTCTCCCAACTCAGATGTAAGGAAGAAACTCGTATTATTTCAAAAGAATTTTCAAGAATTTGAGTTCCACTTCGTTGAGAAATTAAAAAGGGCCACTGTGCTACACAATTTTGAAAAGGAAATATATCGGAGTAAGTTTTGCATCTGTCCTCGTGGGGAGACTCAAGTTGGTGGCGTTTGCTTATCAGAATCGATGGCTTTTGGATGTGTACCTGGTAAGAATGTTTCTCACAAGGTTTTTTCTTTTAGTTGAACACTTAAAAAATGTTCATCCACGGCAACATTTTGAAAAGTATTCAGTTCTGATGATATCATGCAAGAACATTCTTATATACAGCATAAATAATAAAATCAAAGAAAGGGGCTCTTACCCAGGCATGTATTAAAATTCTCTGTTTCACCTCGTCAGCCTGTCCTGTGGTTTCCTTTTAAAGCAGTTCATGTGTGTCTTTCTGCAGTCATCATGTCGGAATACTATGACTTGCCATTCAATGACATTCTTGACTGGGATAAATTCTCTGTAATTCTCAAAGAAGACGATGCTCTCGAACTGGAGAAAATTCTTAAATCCATACCAGAAGGAAAGTACGAGAAAATGCATCAAAATATTCTTAAGGTAGACATGAATTTTATCTTTATTTGGGATCAATTTTTTCATTCCCTAGATTCTACTGTGGCCTTCATGATTAACTGATATTAGCTTGAATATGGAGAGATACACTTGACTTGTGTTTCTTCTGGTTTTCAGGTTGGAAAGCACTTCAAGTGGCATTCTCCTCCTGCCAAGTATGACGAGTTTCACTTGGTTATGTATGAGCTGTGGAAGCGCCGCCACATCATTAGGTACTGAACCACTGGAAGATGTCTCAAGTTGTGCGGGCGGTCCGACACCTTTACACCATTTTAAACAGCATTTCCCTCTGATTGCTGGTTTCTGAAGCTGAAAGCACATAGCATATCTTGGCGTACTTACTCCTTTGTTTCTCGAATTTTCTTCCATTTCATTTTGCTACTCCTAAATGCTTCAATTCAAGGATGTATCTGCCATGAGGCTTACATTTGAAATCACTTTCATCATTTTTAAGGATAATTGTTTTGTGCTGTTTGCAGATAAACATGATAAACATTGCTAACATCTATCTAGTATAAATAAAAATTAAATCTTGTAAAAATTAAATTCATATAATCTAATTAACTTGAAAAATACAAAAATAACTCGGATGATAGTTAAAAGTATAATTTGACTAAAATAAATTTAATATAGCATTTTGTTTTATTATTAAAGTAGTAACATATTGGATTGACATGATTTAGCCTGGATTAATTTATCAAATTTACAATTATTATTATAAAAATAAAATAAATTATAAAATTTAATTTTTAATTAACTCGAATGATGAAAATAAAAAAATTAATTTAAAAAAATATAAAAAAAACTCAAATCAACATAGATTAACCTGTCAAACCCATGACTCGGGTCATGAGATTAAAATTACTTTATAAAAAATAATTCAAAATAAATTATAAAATTTAATTTTCAACCAATCTAATATTAAATAATAAAAATAAAAATAAAAAAATAAAAATTTAACTCAAATTAAAGAAGGTTAACATATAATTTTTAAATTGTAGCCTTGGTTATAGCCTTATCATTATACATTGTAATAATGTTGGTGTTAAGCGTGGTGTTAAAAATGAGAAATCTTCCATATTGTGAAATAAGAGATCAGGTAATATCTTTATTTAGAAAATTAAGAGTTTGTAAATCATTTAATCTGTACTTATAAAAATAACAACAAACTAACAAATGCAATAAAGGTTCATAAGGACTTTTAATGTTTTAGAGATTATACACATTAATATCTCAATTTTTTACTATGTGTAGTTTAATGATAAAAAAATCTTTCATTGTTTTTATTGATGACTAATTATACAAAATATATATATATATATATATATATATATAAAAAGAGTATGATTGACAATTCTAACGTCTCGTTGACTTTGTGAAGTAAAGCTCTAAAATCTATGACATATAAACTAGATAGGATTTCAAACACAATGGTTCATAATATATCATTTGAATTATAAAAATATTGGTAATATAATTTAAAACATGAATATGTATTGCATTGTTTAATTAAAGTTGGAGTCAACAATCCACAAAAATATTCAATGAATATTTATTAGGATGATGATATTAGTAAGGGTAGCCAACCTTGAAACTTTTTTTAAAAAGGATAGTAGTTTTGAACCTCTTTTTTCATCTTCATGTAAATTAGTTATGCTTCATGATAATTATTAGGATTTAATAACTCAAGAATAACTATATCATCGTGAGAATATTTTTACAGATTTAATTACTCAGTATTCTCAAGCTCAAGATGTTAATGTAACATTGAGAAAATATTTAAGAGTTAGAAAACCCATAATGTTATTATATTTTGTAATATATATACATAAGAATCTCACATAAACATTGCTGTTAAAAATGACTCTATTATATTTTCTCAAAGTTATGATAGAAAATAAATCCATATTATATTATAACACCATGAAAATAACTAATAATAAAGTATGGGATCTTATTAAATTGCTTATTAAGGGAAAAGCCAGTTTTAAATAAATTTTTAAAACCAAAATAGATTTTTTAGATAATATTAAAAGATATAAGACTAAACTTATAGCCAAAAGATTCACTAAAAAAAAAACTGATTATCATGAAATAATGATTCATTTTGAATAATTATGGTATTGATATCTTATTTTTTATATTGAGTTTCATTAAATAAATGTGAAAATAACATTTTTTAATAATGATCTTGAGGAAGAAATTTACATTCATGAAACAACTAGAATGTTTCATTTTAGAGAAAACAATAAGTTAATTTGTAAGTTTAAAAATCTATATATGGACTTCATGTCAATAATATTTAAAATTTTATAATGTCATTTCTTCATATAGTTTTACGAACAATATTTTGAATCAATGTATATATTATAAGATTAATGAAAAAGGTAATTTTTTTAATTCAATATGTAGATAATATTCCACATATTTTAAGTAATTTAGATTTATTTTATAAAGTTAAGTAATTTCTCTCGATGCAATTAAATAAATATAAAAGATATGAGTAAAGTTTTTAACGGCACAAACATAAAGATTCAGAGAGACAAACATAAAAAACATTAAAATTATCTCAAGAAACTACATTAATAAAAATTTGAAGAGATTTTGTATAAAAGATTTTCATCTAGTGTTATATCTATGGTCAAATATAACAAGTTTAATTTAGAACAAAGTTCAAGAAATGATTTAGAAAAGGAACAAATAAATAGCATTTCATATGTCTTTATCAGAATGAGTTTAATAAATGCTAAAGTTTGTACAAGACATTAGACAATTAAAATATTAGATATATCAAAGTAACCTAAGTTTGGATAATTTGAGAGTTCCAAAGAAAGTCATATAATACTTTTAACAGGCTAAAAACTACAAGATTATATATAAGTGATCTGATTATCTGGAAATGATTGGAAATACAAATTGTTTGGAAACTTTTAAATTGAGTTCAATCCACATGCTTAAATTAATTTTTGTATTTGACACGACTAAAAAATTGATGTCTTCTCCCAAGTGCAGGAGTGTCGAAGTAATAAATAACCCGGCAAGACCGGGGTCGAACCACAAGGAGGTTAATTGTACAAATTATAAAAAACAATTAAAAAACAACAATAACAACAACAGTAATAACAATAATAATAATAATAGTAATAACAATAATAACAATAACAATAATAATAATAATAATAATAATA